CTGGAGTGCAGTGGTGCGATCTTGGCTCACTGCAACCTCTGCCTGCCAGGTTCAAGCAATTCTCCTGCCTCAGCCTCCTGAGTAGCTGGGATTACAGGCCTGCACCACCACGCCCAGCTAATTTTTGTATTCTTGGTAGAGACTGGGTTTCACCATGTTGGCCAGGCAGATCTCAAACTCCTGGACCCTAGTGATCCTCCCACCTTGGCCTCCCAAAGTGCTGAGATCACAGGCATGAGCCACTGTGCCTGGTCCACAGGTCAGTTTCCTCCATAGCTACACATCCACTGAGGGCAGACGATTTCTCCTGGTCTGCACACTCCATGGAATCTAGTGGTTTTTTTTTTTTTTTTTTGAGAGACAGGGTCTCACTCTGTCACCCATACTGGAGTTGCAGTGGCATGATCATAATTCATTGCAGCCTGGAACTCCTGGACTTAAGTGATTCTCCTGCCTCAGTCTCTTCAGTAGCTAGGACCACAGAGGTGCACCACTATGACTGGCTAGGTTTTAAATTTTTTTTTTTTGTAGAAACAGGGTCTCACTGTGTTGCTTAGGCTGGTCTTGAACTCCTGGGCTCAAGCGATCCTCCAATCTCAGCCCTTCAAAATGCTGGGATTATAGGCATGAGCCACCTTGCCTGGCCTCTTAAAGGTCCTGCTCCATCAAGAAAGGAGATGCCCCAAAACACAGGCAGGAGAACTAGAGAAAGGGAGAGCTTGAACAGCATCAAGGGAGAAGGAGCCAACCCAGAAAGGAAACCCATGGCAGGGGTTACCAACGCAGATGCCTCCAGGGCTAGACAGGTCATGTGGGTGGAGGAGGCAGCAGAGAACAGATGAGGGTGGGATGGGGTGATCGGCATGGGTGCCCCATGAAGGGCCAGCCCATTATTTCCCTATGGGAATATAGGCACAGTGATGCCAGCTTTTTCAAGAGAGGCTGGAAATCCAGATTTTTGTGTAAAATGTCCCAGTTTGTAACTGTTGGCAGCTAATTCTGATTATTTCAGTGCACTGTTTGTGTCTAGAAGGCTTCAGGGCTACTAGTACTGTTCTGTTTTTCAGGCCAGGTTGATGGGTACATGAGTGTTTGGTTTTCCTGTATTTTTCTTGCCTTATAGAAATATAAATATCGGCCGGGTGCAGTGGCTCACGCCTGTAATCCCAACACTCTGGGAGGCCAAGGTGGGTGAATCACCTGAGGTCAGGAGTTCAAGATCAGCCTGGCCAACATGGTGAAACCTCGTCTCTACTAAAAATACAAAAATTAACCACGTGTGGTGGTGCATGCCTGTAATCCCAGCTACTCAGGAGACTGAGGTAGGATAATTGCTTGAACCCCGGGGTGGGGGCAGAGGTTGCAGTGAGCCAAGTTTTCACCACTGCGCTCCAGCCTGGGTGAAAAAGCAAAACTCCATCTCAAAAAAAAAAAAAGAATATTTTAAATATCATTTCATATGTATTCAAAATTAAGTTGAGAACTCTCAAAATCCTTTCTGTGAGTTCAGTTTTGCCGGCAGACCACCCATTTGCATCCCCTGCTGGGTATTAGCTTGTTGCTTTGCAGTACTTGTCGATTAAATGAGGTGTGTGGCTATACACTTTCACTTGAATATTAATCAGTTAAGTGTTACTTTGTGCTGAAAATAGAAAAAGTCAGCAGTGCTGTTTCTTCTACAAGAATTGTTCTGTGAAAGGAAAAATGTTGCAGCTCACCAACTGCCGCCCACTCTTTCCTCTCTGGAATATTTTTGAACCTATCATGTGTTACCTTTCACACAACTTGATATTGAATATAAGAAGAAATACTAATCATTCTGCATAAACCAAAGTCTGACTTCAAACGTACTCATGATTTTGATAAAGTCTGTATGTGTGTATATGAAGGCACAATTTGCATCTCAGAATCTAAGAGACATCTAAATACTGGCACCAAGGATATATAGCTGTCTTTGGTTCACAAGTTGTCCAGCACATATTTTGGATGAAGTAACTATGAGTCACTTGCAGCCTGGAACAAGTTACTTCACCATTCTGTGCCTCAATTTCCTCACTTACAAGTTTCTAGGCTGGGTGCGGTGGCTCACACCTATAATTGCAGCACTTTGGGAGACTGAGGTGGGAGGATCACTTGAGCCTGGGAGTTCGAGACCAGTCTGGGCAACAAAGCGAGACCTCATCTCTATAAAAAAAATAATAATAAAATAAATAAATAAAATACATTTCTACATATGTGTGATACATTATTTTATCTAGGTGGCAGAAGTAAACCACAGAGGAGGAAAGTACCAAATCAAATCAAATTATTTTACTCATTCAAGAGATGTTTATTGGACGAGTGCGGTGGTTCACGTCTGTAATCCCAGCACTTTGGGAGGCTGAAGCGGGTGGATCACCTGATGTCAGGAGTTCAAGACCAGCCTGGCCAACATGGTGAAACCCTGTCTCTACTAAAACTACAATATTAGCCGGGTGTGGTGGCATGCACCTGTAATCCCAGGTACTCGGGAGGATAAAACAGGGGAATCGCTTGAACCCGGGAGGTAGAGATAGCAGTGAGCCAAGATCGCGTCACTGCACTCCAGCCTGGGTGACAGAGTAAGACTCTATCTAAAAAAAAAAAAAAAAAAGGATGTTTATTGAACACCATGCTAAGTAAGTAAGTAAGGGCTCTGGGGAAGACAAAAAAGGCCATTAGGACATGGCCTCTACTGTCATGGAATTGGAGAGACAAGACACACGCACAAAATATTATGACACAACATGAGGCAATATGTATTGCCGGCCATCTAGACTGTGAGCTCCTCTACGGCGGGGCCTGCATTATATTCGTCTTTGTAAATGTGGAGCAAATGAATGAATAGTACCAAAAGCACAGTAGCTATTCTAAGGAGGAAGATGCCATCGTGGACTTGAAAGTTCGTGAAGCGGTCCTTCCTGTGACTGACGTCATCGGGAGATTTGCTTTCCTTTTCTCTGAAAGAAGAGGAAATTGAAACTGAGTGGCCCATGATGGAAAGAGGGGAAGTCTAGGGGTACAGGAAGTCCCTGGGTGAAGTCAGAGGCTAACGTGGGGTTCAGAGCGACTGTGGCCGTCGGCCTGACCGTCTTTGTGCTTTCTGTCATCACTATCATCATCTGCTTCACCTGCTCCTGCTGCTCCCTCTACAAGATGTGTCGCTGACCGCGTCCAGTTGTGACCACCACCATGTCCCCCACTGTGGTGCATGCCCCTTACCTTCAGCCTCCAAGTGTGCCACCTAGCTACCCTGGACTACCAGGGCTACCACCCCATGCCCCCCTCCCCCAGCCAGGAATGCCAGCAGCACCCTACCCAATGCAGTACCCATCACCTTACCTGGCCCAGCCCACGGGCCCGCCAGCCTACCTCGAGGCCCTGGCTAGAGGAGCAGCCACACCCTACCCTACCAGCCAGCCTCCTTCCAACCCGGCCTACATGGATGCCTCGAAGGCGGCCCCCTGAGCGTGCCCTGGCCTCTCTGGCTGCCACTTGTTCATGTCATGTGTATGTGAGTGGTGTGCAGGCACGGTTCCTTACACCCCGTGTGTGCTGTGTGTGTCCTGTCTGTATATGTGGCTTCATATGATGCCTACTAGGTGGGGAGTGATCCTTGCCAGAGTGGGCTGGGACCAGACTTTGTTCTCTTCCTCACCTGAAATTATGCTTCCTAGAATCTCAAGTCAAACTTGAAGAATGGAGTGGTGGGGGCACCCTGGGAGGTGGCCCCTGAGAGGTGGGGGGCTCTCCAGGGCACATCTGGAGTTCTTTTCCAGCTTACCCTAGGGCGACAGAGTGCGGCCTGTCACACTAGGATGGCGCAGCTTTCTGTGAGTATTTTGCAGATGTGTCCTGATTTCAGCAGCATAGCCAGCTGCCACTTGAGGCCATAGCTTGTCCCCAGAGTTGGGGGTACCCTTTGCAGAGCCAGAGACATAATGCAGATAAAGCTTGGGATCTGACCAAGTTGGGCTTTGATCCTTTGGGCCGATGTCCCATTGCTCCCTGGAGCCTGTGTCACGCCCACTGGGGGTCAGGCAGCCTCCTGAAGCCGGAACACCTCAGGCAGAGCCCTGCTCACCTGAAAGCTGTCTGCCTGGACTGTTCCTGTCCCTGCATCCTCCCTGGGACCACCTGGAGGGCCACATCCACACCCAGCCTAGCTGCCCACGGGGAGCTCTCCTGCCCTTGCTGGCCCTGCCCTTCCCACAGGTGAGCAGGGCGGCCTGTCCACCAGCACACTCAAGCCTCTTCCCTGCAGTGTTTTCATTTGATTTTAGCCAAACGCTTTGCCTATTTTCTGGGTTTTCTTGTTTGTTTCTTTTTTTTTTTTTTTTTTTGGAGACAGAGTCTGGCTCTGTTGCCCAGGCTAGAGAGAGGGCTATGGCACGATCTCGGCTCACCGGAACCTCTGCTTCCCAGGTTCAGGTGATCCTCCTGCCTCAGTTCCCCTAGTAGCTGGGATTACAGGCACGTGCCACCATGCCTGGCTAATTTTTTTTTTAGTAGAGATGGGGTTCCGCCTTCATTGCCAAGCTGGTCTCGAACTCCTGACCTCAGGTGATCCACCTGCCTTGGCCTCCCAAAGTGCTGGGATTACAGGTGTGTCTTCCGTTTTAAAACATGATCGTTGATATGAGACTGAAACCCCTGGGTTGTGGAGGGAAATTGGCCCGGAGGAGAGGAATAACCTGGCTAATGTGAGAGTTTCTGCTTCCCCTGACACCGGCTTCATGGAATATGCAACTCCTGTACCCCACTCCATCCAGTGTGTTCTGGCAGCAGGGACACCTGGGCCAAAGGGCTGTCTGGACCAAAGGTGTGGTGTGGGGCCCTGGATGGCAGCTCTGGCCCAGACATGAATACCTCGGTGTTCCCCGTCCCTCTGTTACTGTTTCACCAGAGCTGTCTCGTGGAGGGAAAATCAATAAGACAAGGTCCTAATTAGACATGGGGCTGAAATGCTTTCTCAGGTTTTGAGGCTCAAGTATTTATTGCAATGAAAATTTAAGGGCCAGGCATGGTGGCTCATGCCTGTAATTCCAGCACTTTGGAAGGCCGAGGCAGGAGGATCATATGAGGTCAAGAGTTCGAGACCAGCCTGACCAACATGGTGAAACCCCATCTCTACTAAAAATACAAAAATTAGCCGGACATGGTGGCAGGCGCCTGTAATTCCAGCTACTGGAGGGGCTGAGGAAGGAGAATTGCTTGAACCTGGGAGGCAGAGGTTGCAGTGAACTGAGATTGCACCATTGCACTCCAGCCTGGGCAACAAGAGCAAAATTTCATCTCAAAAAAAAAAAAAAAAATTTAGTATGGGCACGGTGGCTCACGCCTGTAACCCCTGTCTCTAACTAAAAACACCAAAATTAGCCGGCCGTGGTGGCATGCACCTGTAGTGCCCGCTACTGGGGAGGCTGAGGCAGGAGAATCGCTTGAACCCAGGAGGCAGAGGTTGCATTGCTGGATATCGTACCACTGCACTCCAGCCTGGGCTGCAGAGTGAGACTCCAACTCAAAACAAACAAACAAACAAACAAACAAAAAAACAAAAAGAAAGAAAAAAATTTAATCAGTCATATATAAGCAAGATCAGGCCTTACACTTAAAAAAATTCTTGGTGGAGAACTGCAGCCTAAAACCAAAGTTTCAATCCCCTTCTTACTGCTGGATCCCTTCCTTCCTCCCAAATGTGTCGTTAGACACACTTTTCTAGTTACCTGGGTAGAGAGGATCCTTCTCTACTTGAAATATAGGCCACTGGATAATAAATCTTATCTTGCCTTCCTCAAAGAGTCAGTGCAAAAATGAGACAGCTTGTCATGTGAGGCAAGTCCTTTAAGCTTCTCAGATGAACGTTGCTATATTAGGACCAAGGACTGTTATGCAACAAAACCTATCTACACCTTTCCTTGATACCTGAGCTTCACAGCAAAGATCACTTGTTGAACTAACAGTTGTCATTGTATTTTTGAAAAATGATCACTTCTAGGGGTGCATCCTCCACAAATTTCACAAGATCTCAGTTTGGGGATTAGCCATTTTGGCATTTGGGAAAAGAATCTTGCAGAAAATGAACCAGTGGTAATCATGATGAAAATAATAGCTGGAAATGTTTTTATAGAATATACTATAACCTGTATATAGCAAGAATAACACTAAGATTTCAACTGGTTTGTAACTGACAAGCAAGGAGTGGCCTTCCCCACGTCCCTGGCCAGAGCAGGTGCTCTGTCTTGAACTTCCACAGCCTGCTTTCCATCCCTTACCACACTTCCACGGAAGGCACGTGCTCGGAAGTCTCTGTCCCGGCAGGTGCAGTGGCTCACACCTGCAATCCCACAACTTTGGGAGACCAAGTCAGGCGGATCACCTGAGGTCAGGAGTTCGAGACCAGCCTGGCCAACATGGTGAAAACCCATTTCTACTAAAAATACAAAAATTAGCCAGGTGTGGTGGTGGGGGCCTGTAGTTCCAGCTACTTGGAAGGCTGAGGCAGGAGAATGACTTGAACCTGGGAGAAGGAGGTTGCAGTGGGCCGAAATTGTGCCACCGCACTCCAGCCTATGTGACAGAGTGAGACTCTATCTCAAAAAAAAAAAAAGTCTCTGTCCCCACTAGACTGTGAACACTTAAAGGCAACTGTATTATATTAATTTTCAGATCACTAGCACCTGGGACTGAACCTGGAACATAGTAAGTACTCAATAAACATTGACTGAATGGGTAGATGAAATTTGTACATGCCGTTACTTGGCATGGATTAAAGGGCAAGCCAGGAGATGATAATGATTATTATTATTTTCATAATTTTAATTTCTATTGTTTTGACACAGGGTCTCGCTCTGTCACTCCAGGCTGGAGTGCAGTGGCATGATCGCAGCTCACTGCAGCCTCCAACTCCTGGCCTCAAGCGATCCTTCCACCCCACTCTCCCAAGTAGCTGGGACCACAGGCACATGCCACCACATTTTTTTTTTTTTTTTTTTTTGTATTTTTTGTAGAGATGGGGTTTTGCCATGTTGCCCAAGCTGGTCTGGAACTCCTGGACTCAAGAAATCTACCTGCCTCAGCCTCCCAAAGTGCTGGGATTACAGGCCTGAGCCACTGAACCCGGCCTGAGATCATTATTATTTTTTAACTTTTAAGGAGAAACCACATCAAAATTAAAAATTACTCTGCCAAAGACCCTGTTAAGAGGATGAAAAGACAAAGACTGGGAGAAAATATTTGCAAATCCCATATCTTACAAAGGACTAGTATCTGGAGTATATAAAGAACTCACAAAACTTATCAGTAATATTAGTCAGGCATGGTGGTGCGTGCCTGTAATCCCAGCTACTTGGGAGACTGAGGCAGGAGAATCGCTTGAACCCAGGAGACAGAGGTTGCAGTGAGCTGAGATTGCACCATTGCACTCCAGCCTGGGCAACAAGAGCAAAACTCTGTTTCAAAAAAAAAAAAAAAAACTTATTGGTAATAAACAATCCAGTTAGAAAAAGGGCAAAAGACATGACAGATATTTCCCTGAAGAGGATATACAGATGGCAATTAAGCATGTGAAAAGATGCTCACTGTCATTAGTCATCAGGGAAATGCAAATTAAAACCACAATGAGATATCACCACACACCTATCAGAATGGCAAAAATAAAAAATAGTGACATCAAATGCTGGAGACACAGAGAAACTGGGTCACTTGTAGATTGCTGGTGGGAACGTAAAATGGTACAGCCATTCTGGAGACGGTTTGGCAGTTTGTTTATTTATTTATTTATTTATTTATTTATTTATTTATTTATTTATTTATTTTTGAGATGGAGACTCACTCT